AATTTCTCTTCGTGCGTGTGTGTGTGTGTGTATGTGTGTGTAGCACGTGTGTATAAGGTACTTACATACATTTAAACATGCGGAGATTTAAATAGATATTTTAAGCTACCTCCGTGGCTCGTGGCCCGAGCCCGCCCTCCACATGTTAAAGTGGTCACCGTAAACTGAAGTCGCACTGTTTTCGTGATGCCCAGCAATGTGCACACTTCTAATTTAAATCAGGACGGGCACCATGAGCCTCAGCTGGCTGCTGCCATTGCCACCAATCACGGTCGTATTCGCTCTCCTGCGGGGCGATGATCGGACACAGAAGCATGCGCTCCAGCAAGGGCACGACAAGCCACGTCACATGCTGAAGAGAACTGAAAGGTCTGTACGCAATGTTGCTGCCCTGAGGCAGGCCTTGACATCCTCATACCACGGCTCCTGGTAGCATTGCTCCTTCAATTATGAACACAGCATTCGAAAGATGTGTGGTAGACGCTGCGCTGCCTTCTCGTGCCAGCGTGCTTGATGTGACTCCTCCTGGCCAGATGCACCGGCTTCGCAAGCTGGCGGCTTCCGAATGGCTGCGCTGAGATCGTGGCACATGGTGGCCTCAAGTCGCCAGGGAACCTTGCCGGTGCGACGAAAGCCCAACATATCCAACCCGACAAGTCCAACCAATGCCGGTTTTGCTCCTCCTCCTCGGCAGAGCTGTCCTGCAGTGCTGCTCACATGGGGGGCTGGTATCCCATCGCTTTGGCGGATTCGGACTGGTCGAGACCTGTGTGAAAAAACACCAACACGCCACGTTGCTGCACGTGCGCTAACCTTGTTTCAAGCTGTCGTAAGGAGTTTGGCTTGTAAAGGTACGTGTCTTTGTCAGAGTGGAGGCCATATGCTGCACAGACCACACGGATGCCGAAATGTTCTCCTATGAAGACGAGGAACAGGAAACCAAGAACACATCAAATTCTCCACCTCGTCTCCAAGATTCTACAAAACAGCGAAAACACAAGCTAAATATGCAGGTGAACACACAAAAACAACAATGCTGTCATGTGCGATGCCCTGGTTCCCTCGTAGGACTCCTGCCGAGCTTTTGCACCAAGGAGCATGCTCCATCATCACACAGGCCCGCCGCAGCAGACCAGAGGCTTCAATCAAAGATATCTGGTTTCACTATTTGGGCAGTTTAAGTCCGGGCCTTGGCCTAAAACTGACAATGGCGTGAGACCGAAACTGACCATGTCCTGATCCGAAACTTCACCCCGAAACTTAGCACCGAAACTAAAATCGAAAACTCTGAAACTCACTTCCGGAAATCCTGGGTTACAGGTTGGCGCAGTACAAAGGAGCTTGCGAATCGAATGTTGCATTGCTCGGTCCTGGGAGGGTGCGCAGTCTCCAAGAATGGGATCAACTTCCGCATGTTCCGTCCAAAGCGGACCTGAGAAGCACTGTTGAACAACAAATGGTCATTCTAAATTGACTTGTGCCGTCAGGCTGCAACAGGATCTGAAGGCAGCTGGTTTGCGGTAGCATGTTCGTAGCAGGATGAGCAAGAGCATACGGAATTGTAAATTTGTAGGCTCGCAAAATCAGAAGACTGAACCACCTAGACAAGCTTGTCAATCAGGCACAACAAGGCATGGCACAACATGGCACAATCCGCGCTGACCAGTCTCCTTGACTTAGTGCCTAGCCATCGGCCCTCCGCAAGGCCACCTGACAGCAGGATCAGTTGGGCCGTGGGGGCTTGGGTTGCGCTACTCGCGTTAGCCTTGTGACATAATAAATCCTCTAGGTTGCTGAACACCCAAATAATTTTCACTTCGTGATTTAACACAATCTCCATCCAATTGATGAATTCAATTTGGGAATGGCTATTTGGGGGACTCGAGGCTCAATGGACTTTGAGATTGGTCCGCGCCCACGGGCCAGAAGGACGAATAGAATAGTCGCTGCTATAATCGCCAGAGTCAGGAAGCATGGAGCCACGACACGCAGGCCAGGGCTTCAAATTCAGGCTGACTTGTCTGGTGCCGCTTCAAAGGGTCGTCCGGTGGGGGGTTTGAGGAGGGGGTGTCCTCTGGGAGGTTCAGGGACGGGCCCTATGGGGGCGGGGGTCCTTCGCAGGGGGTTTTGGGGACTCGGGCCAGGGTCCGGACCCCGCCCAAATACAAACCGAAAATGGACTCAAAACCGGGCCCCAATTGAAATCGGAGCTCTTATCTTTACTACAGTCAATTGAATTTTGAATTCGATTTTCAATTCAAACTGGGTTCCTCCGCCAAGCGGCCTCCAGACCCACCCGGGTCCCCTCCTGAATGCCGCGGGACCCCGCCCCAGGACCCCAAATTGAATTGAAAATCGAATGGAAAGTTGAATTTATTTCAATTATAAGAAGAGCTGAATCCAATTCAAACGGGACCCGGTTCTGAGTCCATGTTCGATTCGATTTTCAATTAAATTTTCAATTCAACCTGATTGGGGTTCTGGCATCGGGGGTGGGAACTCAATTCAATTTTGTTTGGGTTCCCACTTCCTGGGACGTCCCCCGCCCTACCGCCACGACTAATACTTGAATAGTACTTCTTCTGTCACCACAACATCCCTACACTGACTGCACCTGCGATGCAAACGCCGACGACAACGATGACAACGAGGACGTTTGCTGCACCCCCGGTTACTGTACCACCGCGACTACAGGTTGCACGGTCTTTGTCCATACACTCTCAGGCATCCAACTGGCACCAGACAGCTAAGCAAACCGCATATCATAAGCTAGTCAAAGCCGAATCGATTCATTGAATCTAAATCGAACCGAAACCGAACCGGAAAATAAAATGGAAGTTACCTAACTTAGAGGCCTCCTATGTCACAACGTTAGCTTTTGAAAAATCACAGCAGAGGGGCGGAGACAAGCGCGGAAACCCCGGCATTGGACAACGCGAAGCGGCGAAGCGAATTGACAAACACCGCACGCCGTAGTTCACACGGCCAAAATGTGCAGACGACTCTTTTCCGTCGTTTGGTTTGGAGCGCCGCAGCGCCGTTGGGCGCGCAGAACCTAGAACTAAAGCCGGCTCCAGACCCCGAGTCGGAGATCATGCACATCCTCGCTACGGTGGTTGACGACCTCCTCTACGCGGTGGATGATGCGGCTGACGACCTACTCTCAGCCTCTACGCCATGGTTTTCTGCGCCGGCACGTGGGGGGGCTCGGTGCGCCGGGTAGTGCTGGCTTTAGGTTCGCAGCGCTCCAAACCAAACGAAAAACAGTCGTCTGCACATTTTGCCCGCGTGAGCTACAGAGTGTGGCGTTTGTCGTGAAACACACTTGTGTGCACAGTGACAAACGTAACAGCATAGCTGCCTTAGCACTCTGGCTCCACGGCGCTTCGTCTAAGCTTTTCTCCCACCCTTTCCACCCGGGCACCCCTTCCACCCGGGAGATCGGGGGCGGCCAAACCTTAGCCAACCAGCCGGCGCTGAAGATGCGCACCCGGCCCCTAAAGTCCATCCCTCGCGTCGAGCTCTGGAGAAGTCGTCGCGAGAAATGGCGTCGTTTATTTTTTCAATCGCTTGAGTCGAGCCGACAACTCAGCGGGCGCTACGCACTCATACTACAAAGTGAATATGAGAGCGGCGTTACAGCAGGCCGGACAACTACACTGCCGGCTATTGCGGGCTAGAAAAACCGCGAAATACCACGTCCTACTCATTTCCTTCACATCATTAGCATGAAACGGCGTCGTTGTTCATTCACACGCTTTAGTCAAGTCGACTATTCAGCGGGCGCTGCATACTTGCACTTGCAGTTGAGTACAAGAATGGCCATTAAGGCATGCCGGACTACTGCACGCTGCTTCCCAAGGCGGCAGCCGACTAAAAGAAAGCTACATAATGCTACATACCACGTCCTACTGACTTCTTGTACATCAGTAGAGCCAGCCAACGCCGGAGGCGTTTCATTATTACCCATATTTACCCATGTACAGAATGATGAAATGGCGTCGGCCACACTGGCTTTTGAGGGGAGTCGTCGAAAATCCGCCGTCCATCCCTGTCTCGCCGATAGAGGGCCCAGAATGCCGCCAACATGCCGTTCATCGCAGGGTCCTTTGCATAGCCCTTGGTCAGCGCCACCGACGATCGGGCGATCGTCGTTGGAGCTGGTGAGGGCGGCATCGCCGGCGGCGGCGGTGGCAGCATGGAGGCAGGTAGCGCAGCGCTTCCCACTGTCGCCTGGCCTCCGTGAAGATGTGGATTGCACCGCCTTGACTCGGTGGCATCCTCGCTGCGCAGCGGGTGACTTCATCTGATGAAGGGCTGCACTATCACTACCAAGTTCTCGAACGCCGGTTGATCACCGGCAATCCTCTCGCCGATCCGAGCTCAATCTCATTGTACTGTGACGTCGGGTTCATGATGAAGTTGGTGTTGAGGTCGCCAACCATATCTGCCACCGCTGCTGGTCGCAGCGGCCCGCGAAAATTTAGAAGTCCACCTCTAGGACAGTAACACCGTCTTCGATCGCCGCAGCCCAGCCTGTGCACTTTCGAAGCCACAGGTGTAGCGTTCTACCGCCGCGCTGGCCGACCGCCGCAGCTACGCCGCGAGCGGCTAGGAACGTAGCCGGTTTGGTGATCCGTCGTCGTCGTTGAAAACCGCGGCAGCTTGGGCCGCTCTGCCACCAACCTGGCCATGTGACGCCACGCCGGGTCAACAGCCCTCCCCAAACATCGTCGACGACAGAATGAGGTCCCGGACCCTCGCTCCGGCCTCCCTGGATTCACGCAGCATGAACCAATATGATTACTACTCCAGGCGGCAACTCCACGGCCCATCCGCCGGTTCAAGCCTCACCAGGTCGCCGGGGATTCCAAGGCCAGGCTTGTGTCGGTGGAGGTGGAGTCGGAATCGCTGGCTCAGAAATGGCCTCCGGGCCAGCCGGCGCCGCTGTCTGCACCGGAATCTGCCTTCGCCTTAACTGCAGCGGCCTCGCCGAGGGAATGCTCAGCAGCGCCGAGTTGATCTCGGATGGTGATGATGGTGTCGGTGGTCCCTTTCATCGAAGCTGCGGGATGCTGCGGGCCCTGACACAGCCGCCGATTCCAGCACAGCCGTCCTCGGGCTCCATAATATGGGTCCAGAGCCGATGTTCCTCTCTGGCCATCGGGTCGAAGTCAATTCGCTGCCACCGATGGTGCTGCGGACACCGACGCCGTGGCTTGGAGCTGCTGGCGCCTCCAGAAGAAGTCCCCCGGTGCAGATGGAAGTAGTGACTCGTCCGCGGCTTGATCCTGCGGCAAGGGCGCCGGCACCGATAGCTGTGGCTGCGGGGAAAAGCTCGCAGTAAAGGTAGCCGCCGATGTGCCCGGCCTCGTCAAAATAGGTGAAGGCGCTGAGGCAGGCGTCGATGAAATAGTACGATCCACCACCCCGCTCGCCGCAGCAGAAGCACCTGGCCCACCCGCCGTCGTAGCCATTCCCATTGGTTGTCGAGGTCCGCCGCGTCCAGCTGCAGGAGTACCGCCGTCCATCCGGTATCACGAGACCGCTGCAAGCAACGCCGCAAGCGGTTCGCCTTCGCAAAGGCATCAAAGGCTGGCGCAGCAGCGCCGGAGGAGGCCATGATAGCCGAAGGCGCGGGAGGATGCTACACAAGAAAAGCTTAGGCGAAGTGCTAAGGCAGCTATACGCCGTTACGTTTGTCCCTGCGCACACAAGTGTGCTTCACAACAAGAACGCGTACGGCACAAAATGTCTGCAGAACTATCATTCTGCACCAAGACGCTCCGATTCCGCCAGTGTCTCTCCGATGTCGCTCACGCCTCGGAATTCACGGAAATGCCCTTCTCAGCGAGGAAACACAACTCAAGACTTATCTTGCGCCCTTGCTGGCGTTCAAACAGAATAATGGAATTGCCTTCAGCTGCAAGTTCCTGCTGACGAAAGTTGCGGCTGGACAAGGCAAGTCTTGAAGTTACTAATGGACGACAGATTTGAAAGATTGGAGAACAGCACTTGCCGGAATGCAGATTTAGCCATCTTGCAGAGCACAAACATGTTCTTGCAATATGAACTAGGTGGCAGCCTTTCGACGTGAAGATACGTGAAGCTGAAAACACAAGGAACGTGGTAATCGCAGCAGCCACAGTAGCGGTGACAGTTGAAGCAAACTTGCAAAACAAGCTCTGGGCCACGTGTTCGTTCTGATGAATTCACTTGAATCTCAGATGCGAGCTGTAACTGCGCCTGGCCAGGTGCGAAGACAGAAAGATAAATACATGCACGTACTGTCAAGAGCACCTACAATGCTACAAAAAACAACTGAAATAAGCATGATAAGAATCACGATGCACCACCACCACTGCTCTTCCTTCTTCTACTACCACTATTTGTACTACTGTTCTGCTGCTACCATGGCGACGACGACGATTGCTGCTAAGACTGCAACGCCTACGACGACGACTGCTAATTCTGTACGAGCACCCCTGCTTAGACTACAAGTGCAGCAGCGGCAGCAGCATCGCCCGCAGCAGCAGTAGCAGTCGCATGGAGCAGGAGCAGGAGAGGAGCAGGCAGGAGCAGGAGCAGGAGCAGCAGGTGGAGAGGAAGAGTAGGACTAGGAGGAGGACTAGTAGCAGTCGTCGTCTAACACAACAATAACAACCATTACCACTACTACTAGTACTACTACTACTACTACTACTACTACTACTACTACTACCACCTTCTTCTACTACTGCTTTCTTCTTCTGCTACTACTGTTGCTGCTGCTGCTGCTGCTGCTGCTGCTGCTACTACTACTACTACTACTACTACAACTGCTGTTGCTAGTCATGCTGCACGAGTACTAGTGCTCCAGCAGCAGTACTCTTGCAGTACTGGTACTATAGTACTAGTACTATACTACCAGTTCTAGTATTCTGGTACTCGTCCTCCTCCTTAACCTATAGTTAAACGACCACACAAGCTCCTAGAGTCTAGGCGCGGTTTCAACCTGGCTCTCCACTCCTGAGGTGAACTGATAAGGAAGCTGGACAGAACGAGTAGCTTTCGTGACATGGAACCACAATCCCGGCATCATGCAAAGCCTTAAAACCTTAACTCCACGGGCTACCAGAGAACGAGCACGGGGGGCGATGCCCGCTTCGGTTGAACCTCCTGCTCAAGTCTCACATGGCTACAAAATCATCTCATACAGAAATATACCAACTATACGTTAATACTTTATACGATTAAAAGAGATACAACACTGCCACATACTGTTGCTGCCATGCAGCCATGTGGGGTGATGTCTATGTTCTTCTGAAAAGCCAGAGGCCCATGACATCCCATGACTCCAACCGTACGTATCCCAATTTCATGGAAATAAGACGTATTTCTGTGCAGCCCGAGCTCTTGACTACTTTTTGACCGAAGGCAGCCGACACTGCAGCTTTCTCCGCCGCATCAGCAGCATGAGCTCTGTTGCCTCCGCTGTCCTGCGGCAAGCTGGCCTGGCATGGACACAGGGCTGCCGCCATGATGTCATTGTCCAGCCAGCTGCTCTTGCTCTACAATTGCATTCTGCACCTGTGGCCGGGGCCGTCAGGAAAGCGCTGTTCATCCTCGATGTCCGCTCTTCCATAAACCGTGATAGGACAAGAAAGAATGGCTGAGCATAACACGGGCCCATCTGCATCATGTTCGGGACCTGAATCTATCGCACAACTCGCCGTTGATATCCCAAGCCTGCTACGACAGCCAAGGTGCGGTGGCATCCATGGCGCTGTCGATGAATTCCACTTGCATTGCCTCCTGCATGGCTGCCTCAGTCCGAGCAACCCGAAAACCTCGCATCAGAGCCGTCTCTGACTGAGATGTGCACGCATGGCGGACAGAAGAACCTCGGTTTGCGATGCTGGAAGCGGCGAAATTTCGAGAGCTTGCTCTTCGCGTCCACGGAGGCTCGTGCCAAGTCAAGAAATCCATTGAGCAGGTGGAGCACCTTTCGAGGGCTTTACAGGAGTCACCGGTCACCATCGGTTACCGGCATCTCCAGAATTCTCTTGATGATTCGAACTTCTGCACTTCGGGAGCTCAGGCGGGAACGTCCGGTGTGGCAAGTTGTAAGCACTCCGGATCCTCTGACGATTCGCCACCATCAGCAGGAGGGCCAGCAGCGCCGTAACTCCGTACCTTACGCTTTGGGCACGGGTGCAAGCACTTGCTGAAGTGAAGATGCTCGATTTTGAACCTTTCACATGCTCTGAGTCCTGCACGACAGGTTTATCAGGCTGAACAACAAAGTCATTGTCAAGATACCTGCTAGCCCGCACTTGAGTTTTGCTGAACCTGAACTAGGCGGGTGACGGTTGTAGGGGGAACGATTTCGAGCCAGTTCCTGAAACAAATTTCCCGTTACACTTTCGGTTCCAGTTACAGCGCTTACTCGAAGAAAGTGACGAATACACAAGACCGCAGCATCTCCGCATGTGCTGAGCGATTCTGTCTCAGCAGTCCCGCGGTATGTTCCAGACCAGCACTGCCCTTTCAGCTCTCTTCAAAAGTCTTTGGGGCGCCCCAAAAAGAACTCCGGTCAGCCTGGCCAGTACCTGAAGAAGTTCACCTTCGGCGAGCTGGCCGTGTCCGCCCATCGAATCCTGCCACGCTTAGCCGTCGCAGGCCGCAGGCCCCATTCTCCTCGTGTCATCTGGGCCGCCGCGCGGGAGGAAGCAGCAGGCCCAGAGGCAGATTCGGTGGTCCGGATCGCATCTGCATCCGTCGATCAGACCTTCATCCCAAGAGTAACGAAGCTACTAGTACCTCGAGCAGTTGACCTCCGATCGGGTTCCGGACTGAAGCTGAAAGAATCTCGAGAGATTTTCGGCTCCTGCAAATTGCGCGTGTCCATGCTACTGAGCTGCTCCTGCGCTGCTACTGCACTGCAACCGTCAGCTCAGCACAACGGCTGCATGACACAATTACGGCTCCCTGGGTTCCACATGACACAATCGGAGACTGCACTCTTCAGGCCTCGAAGTCTGCTTCGCCACTACATCTAGCAAAGACTTGCTAGTAACGAATACTTATTAGTGCCTCGTACTTGCTGACTTGCCGCAACATCTCCAAAAACCAATCACAGGACCTGTCCTGCCGAAGGCTTGCATACTCGTACGTGCAGAACTGGCCGTACAGCCAACCTGCCTGCATGGCATCCAGACCAATGGGCACGCCACATACTTAGAAACCCCGAAGCTGAGGTCGTGGACGGCACAAATGATGGCCATGTAGACGGCTGCCGAGATCAGCTGCTCTTTCCAGGTCTGCCGGGTGCCGAAAGGCGAAATGGAAGGGCTGGGCCAGCCATAAGAATTTAAGAATCGCCCCTTTTGATTCTAGCAAAGCAGATCGGGGGAACGCTGGACTTCTTCCCAAACCAGCAGTGACGCGACTGCCTTGGGGAGTTAGTCACGAGGCTTCACTTGCAAGCAGTGTCTCGGACAGCTGAAGCAATCGCCTTCAAAAGGCACTCCGTGGCTTTCCTCTATTGCCAAATATTGCACATCAGACCCAGTCCAGTATTTCTGGACGGCCATGCAACACAAACACTCGGAACGCCCCACTTGTGTCGAGAACGTGTTTCGATCTTTCTCGTAACTAGAGAGTGCTTTCTGTGGAGCACCAAGCAGTGTTTCTGGGAGCGCCCCAGCACAACACGTTTAAATTGAAAAGACAACTTCTGGGTCCATCCTGTGTCCCAGATGCTGCGTCCATCAATCAATCTCAATGGTGGATCCCCAACCCTACCATAGTCAAAACTGTTACGCACATAAACATGCTCGGGGAGAGAGCCTCCTCTACGGCACAGCATGGCGTTGTGGTGGCACCGGCCGTCACTTCAAGACATATCGTCCGGAACGTACTTCAACAAGGCAGTACCATGGCCGCCATCGGACACTTTAAAGTTGCCATCAAGCTGCTTCGAGGCGGGGTCGACATCAGCCTCGCAGGAGCTCTGTCGAAATAGCGAATTTACCGGCTTTCAGCGCAATGACTCTGCCGGTTTGTGTAACCTGGCGAAGTGCACTGAATCCGGAACCCTTGGCCATGTTGTCGCATGCCTACCCCTGCACACAGTCTTGGCTTCAGGTTGCAAAGCTGGTAGCAGGAGTTCATGTGGGTCTGACTGCTGAGCGCATGTTATCTCAGCACCAGTGCAGACAGGTGGCACAAAAGCTCAATGTGCCCCAGTCATGGGTTTCCTTCGCTGCAGAACGGTCTACATGGCGTCATATGAAAATGGCTGCAAGCATGCAACAAAACTGGACATCATTGCTAGCAAGTGACCGTCCATTCCACACCTTAGCGCGATAGGTCGGTGGGGAGCTTCATGTCACAGCTTTGGGTGGCAGACGGTGGCAGTGTGGCGTCCCTACAACTGCAGAAAAGTTGGCACCGGGTGTCGGCGTACACCGAGTCGTTCAGTTGAGCTGCTGGGCTTGTAGGTCTTGTGGTTCCAGTAGAACTTCCCTTCCACTTGGCAACCATTCGGGCCCTTGCCCACGACGACACCAGTCTTCATAAAGCGAAGCTGGTACCTGCACGGAGCACTGAGGGAATTCCGAGACGCCGGGCACCGCAGGAGCTTGCACTGGGGCACTCGACGTGTCTGCGCCCACCTTCTTCGGAGAGTTGACCTGGAAACACTGAACTCGGACGGCTATCAAAGCACAGCAGCTCAGGACCTTCCCAGCTGCCGCTCGGCAAGCTCTTCAGAGCATCGTCCAGAGAGGACGAGGCCGCGGCTTCTTAGTGGCACAGCTAGGCAAGAAAGCTGGACTCGTGCACTGAATCACTGAACGGGGTGTATCTACCTGAAGCATGCGTCCGCTGCCGGAGTCTTTGGACTGCTATGGAGCCTAGCAATCCGTGCAAGCTTTGTCCACCTTTGTCTGGGTCTTTTTCGGGCTTTGGTAGGGGGTTTCAAGCTTTCTGTCTACACGAGGTTTATAAGTGGATTTGAGAATTTGGGTTTATAGTTGGGTCCCGTATATTCCGAATCTCTCATGTGATGAATTCGGGTAGTGGCGGCTGAGTGCTGCAGGGTTCAGAATATGTGTGTGGAAGGCGCATTTCGGGCTTCGCATGATGAAGACTGCTTAGTGAGGCAAATGTTTCCTCAGCAGCCCCGACTGCCTGCACTTTGAGGGCTAGATACTACTTCTAGAATAATTTTGGGGGTCTAGCTGCATGCCGTGAGTGAGCAGGGCACGGACTATGACAAGTACGTGCGCAAAGCTGTCCGGAAGCTTACGGACACGGCTGAGCAGGCTCCCAACCCTTTCGGGGTTTAGGGGTTGAGTCCTGCAGTCCACACCCTTTCAACCAAATCCTGAAGCTGCATGCTCTTGCATTTGAGAGCCTGGTTCCCAAACCCTGAACCCGAAAACCACAAAAGCCTCAACCCGAAATCCGAAGCCCTAGATCCAAAACCCTGTGGAATGTGACGAGACATGTCATTTCAAGGGGACTTCTGCAACCCTTTCTCAGCTGAGCTGCCTGAGGAATAGTCCGAACCTGTCAAGCTGCTTTCCGACGTCGGAACCCTTTTCAAAAGACAGCGCTGCAACAAGTGTCAACAAGAATCTCAAAACTACTCTTTTGTTGATGGTCTCTGGCTGCTGCAGCCCATGCAAGACAAGCTGCCCATGGAAAGCGTCCCAGCTCTGCCCAAAGGGGCCGACTTGCCGCCGCGGGTGCTACTCCTGGCCGTTTTCAGCTCAGGGCCAGAGGTCACCTTTGGTGCACCGTCTCGGCATCCCGACCGGCCTTCCCAGTCCTTTGGCCTTCGCCTTTGGGCTGGGGCTGGGCTCGACTTCCTGAAAAAACACATGTCTCTCTCTTAGGCCATCACAAATATCACAAGAGCCAACTCTGCCGATGCCTGATGATGCGCTTTCGTCGTGAAACACCGAACACACCTCGGCATCCATGGAAACAAAACGTGGCGGCTGCCTTCAAGAGCTCAAACCAACGTTCAATCAAGCTTCAGCTCCAGTTTCCGGTCATGTCTTTGACAGTTGCGGCACACGTAGAAAGGGTTCTTCGCGGCGACAAAACGACGCTGCCAATCTGTATGAGATCCCTATAAGAACACACGCTGTCCTCGGGGTTCGTGTAGATATCCACGAGGAGGACACCACACATGTCACCTAGTCTGTCTGCCATGATCTCTCCATGTGAGCGACATGGGAAACCACTACGATCATAGCTTCTAGACCACCCCGAGGCTTGCAGAGGCAGGGCCGAGTTGCACAGCAGCCGCAATGGCCCTGCAAGACGAGCATAATCACCGCAACACACGTAGTCACGAGGCACAGCGCCCGAAGTCACCCCGTTGGTGCCTATGTCCGAGATCTCCACGCTGCCCCAGTTGTCCGCTTTGAGGACATCATCAATGCCACCAGATCTAACCTAGTGTTCCAGCTTTTTCAGGCCATCCATCCAGGTGCAACAAAGCACATATCACACAACTCGCACGCACTGCCCATACCCATCGCCGTTCTGCACTTTGTGGATGCGAAGTTCGATCCAAATCTCTACTGCAGCAAACTGCGCAAACTCAGGTTTGCCGTGGCACATTCTCTCTCTTGTGGACGGTCTTCTTTTTCCGTTCATCAAACCTCGCACTGCATAGCATGAGGCGTGAACTGAGAGGACTTGACATCTCACAGATGCTCTGCAAGGAACGGATAGGCTTCTCTGACGGTCTTGACCTTCTCCTCCGCAGCATCTGAGAGTGTCTCGAGCTAGGCAAGGCCTCCGGGATAGTGCAACCAAGACTCGAACTGCACATCCTGGCAGTTCTTGTTGTGCCACTCAATGTCCTTCGCTTCTGCAGCTTTCTTCTTTTGAGATTTCCTCGGCCGAGACTTACAGCAAAGACAAGACTCTACCAGACTTTACCACTGGCAGGATCAGGGAGATGAAGGTTTGTCTTGAGGTGACAAAGCGAGCTGGTCGGGGCCTCCAAACAACTGCGAGATACTGGGAGCCTACCTTTTAGTTCAAAGTCTGCATGTCTGTGCAAAGGCGATTCCGCCTTACCCCCTCTTGCGCTAGCCGCATCCGGTTCCACAGCCTGCAGGGGCACGCTGCGACGCTGCCTGGCTTGACACTTAGGTCCGGCAACTAAAGAGCACTGCGGCATTCAATACCTGATGGCAGGAGATAGAGGTTTGTACACCGCCTGTGTCTCGGCCATTATCTAGGTCGGTGGTGAGCAATGTGACAGCCCTCACTGATCAACTCGTCAGAACCGCAGCAGGACCACGCGCAAGGCACGTGACCCACAATGCATGCACGCAGATTTAAAGAGCCAGGGCGTGTACCCAATCCTTCCGCCCAGTGGCCTTGGGAGCCCCAGCCCTTGAAGCTCAATCCTTTGGCCCAATGCCCACCGCCTCGATACATCCTTGCACTCCGCCGAATGGCAGAGGTCCCCCCAATACTTCGCCATGCTGCATGAGCGTACATTTGCAGTTGCTGCAGCTCTGCGCGGTTCCAGGTCGCCGTATTCAGCGGCAAAAAGTCGCCGGAGTGAACAGCGCACTCGTCCGCGGCTCGTTCGTCGCGGAGGGTCTCCCCACAGGCTGCACAGTGAGAGATGCGGTCTTGGCTCGCCCGAGCACCGCGGCCCTCCCAGCGAAGTTGCTTCTGCCAGCGTCGGGCGAACAGCATCTTCCAGTCAATGCTGGCCAACTGAGTTTCTTCCTCCGGTTTCCGAAGGGAAGGCGATAGGAGGAAAGAGCACTTCACCGGATTCTGCAGGATAGACTGGGCCATTGCAGGAAAATGCAGTGCACAGAGCAGTTGCCACAGGCACATCTCCTTGGCCAAGCTACTCCAAACACATCTGGCCGTCATCTCGCAATTGCACAGCTCTACGAAGCTCAGATGCGACGCCACTCTTGACCACAACTCATTGGGAAAAGGAGTGACGCCAGCAAAGCTGTCCAAGTCAAAAGCAATGACGGCTCGTGACAAAGCATAGGACAGTGCTGGCGACTCCTGCTTGCTCGCTCCAGCTTTCTTGGAGCTACGATGCTCTCGATGCGGGACGACATCGCGGGCCCGACCCTTGTTGTGAGGCATGCTTCCGCAAACTGCATCAGTTCTTGTGACTTGCACTCAGGATGGCAATCGCTCATGCCACACATTACCGGCTGAGACGACAGCAGCGGCCTCGCATAAAAAATGCTGAGGCAGGCATTCACCGTGGAACCGTCAGACGATCCGTGGAAGGAAAATCAAAAGTTCAAGCCAAGACTCCGCTTTGCCTTGGCCTCTCAAAAACACATGTCGCTCACAGCACAGGAGCTCCCTCCTCCCTCTTCCCATCCGCTTTCTACGTCTACTCAAAAAAAAAACCCGACCGCAGCCGACCGCCCAGCCTTCGGCCCCTTCCCAGAGAAGACATCCTGGCCAAGCGGAAGCAGAGGCACAAGCGGTCCGCAGTTTGGGGTTTAGGGGCTTAGGGTTTAGAATTTAGGGTTTAGGGATGTTTAGGGTAGAGGGATGTAGGGTTTAGGGTTTAGCTCAAGTCGGCCAAGGTCGGCGGCTCCTCCTCCGTCTCTTCCTTGTATCTAGCAGAAGATCTAGCAGGCGGAGACTGTGGAACCGGCGGCCCAGCAGAAGCGCCACAGCCCATGCTCGTTGGCGACTTATGCGGTACACTGACTGAAGCTAATTTGGCTTAAGTCGAAGCTGGTAGTGTTTTCGAAGTTCTAAGTAGAGTCGAAATGGCGATCTCCATGTGTTTCTGGTCCTCTGCTCTCTGCTAATTGCTTCGGGAACAGCAGAAAGATGACTCGAACGATGGGCAAACATGTCGCTTCAAACATGTCACCTGCCTTCTGGATAATGTGCTTGACCGTCTGCAAGCCAACCTAGCACTCTGGCGATCAGCATCGTCACACGGGGAAAGCGGCTGCATCTGCTACTACTGTTACTACTGCTGCTAGCCCAGAACTCACACCACTCGCCTCCAAGCCGGAGCTGGACGACCTCAGAAGCAAATTAGTTCTGCTGGACAATATGTCCAGCATCAGCCCCAGGCGATGCTTCGGACACCTGGTGCACCCAATCAACTCATCATTCGTCTTGTCCAAAAGCTGCTGTGTGAACGCCCACATTTGCAAACGGGCACCTGGGCAAGAGAAGTGCCCAATCCGGTGACTTTCTTGGAGATCTCCCGCTCCACCTGCGCATGAAGCAAAGATCCTTCACAGAATGGAGCAAAGGAGCAGCATCGAAAACCCAGCCTCTGCCTCGCGCTCCTTGAGCTCTTGCTGCTGCTGCGCGAGGGAGGCTTGCTGGGCCTCAGAAACAGAGGCCTCGCTCGGGCCTAAGAGACCTTTCGCCGTGAACTCAGCCGTGGCCCGTGCAGCAATCTGCTCGAGAGCCTGTACAACCACAGTTTCTCAGTCCTTTTCAAGACTGCTCTACGATGTCCAAGCGCCTGCTCTTGTGATAGCAAGGCCGACTGCTCGGCGCTGAGGAGAGTTTCCACACGTTCCTGGCGCAATTTTTGCGCAAGTTGGCACGTCGCAGCCTTCCAGCGCTGCAAGATAGATCGTCCAAATGCCTGGCGCCCTTGCATGGATCCATCCGAAACCTGCAACAGCATAAAGCACGGCACCCTCGAGCGCCACACTTCACCGGACACTCTTTGCCTCCAGCAAGGAGGCGCCGACCTTTCCGGTACTGCCATCGACCTGTGACCGAGACGAGACGCCCTTAGCCATCCAAACGTCTTCAGTCGAAACGTGAAGAACGAGGACAGCGACGAAACCTAAGTCGCAATCTGCCATGTTCTGCCATGTTTGGGCTTCTCTCCGCTTTTTTGCAGGACCATGGCAGCTCGGTCATCTGGACGCATCTACTGACCAGGACAATTGCATGGTACATTCACGAGGCTTTCTTGAGCTTCGGGTTCCCCTCGCCTGCGCCGCAAGGAAGCTGGAAGCATCAACGCTCGGCCTGCCGAAGCGCAGCGAAAACGGGGGGCTGACTGCACTTCGCACCTAGCCGCGACTCTACTCTTGTCAAGCAGGATGCTGCGGACTGCGTCTCGATTGAGTTTTCGGCACTGCTGTGCATCGCTGCACAGCTGCCCGAAGATATGGCTAGCTTACATGCAAAAGGCCTACCTCTCGACGATCTGTTTGGAGAAAAGTGCTTAACTCGAGCAATGCTCCCCTTGTGCAACAGAACTAATCTCTGAGGCTGCGAGAACAGAGTGTCTCTTGAGCTTCACACACACTCCGACAGCTCCCAACGGCAGGCCCAGGGGATACAGCCGAGGCACTGCCTACACATCTGTACTACATGAACTGCATGTTGCTTGGGTGCCAAATACATGGAAAACTCATCAAACCCCCTATAATCTAATATTACAGTGGGTGGTTTTCCAAATTTATTCTGAGGCTCCCCTAAACCCTAAACCCTAAACCCTAAACCCCCGAATTACGCGAGGTTGCCTTTGCTCCACAGAGAGGCCGCAGGCCAAGGCCAGGAAACACCAGGCGCACAGGGCCTGTGGCGGAGGCTCCGCAAGAACCACAAGAAAGATGATGGCCTTCTTCCCGCTTCTCTTGATGGTATGTGTGTGTGTGTGTATATATATATATATATATGCATACATACATGCATACATACATACATACATACATACACAATAAATACATACATATTCAGATGGAGGGAGGGAGAATGAGTGAGCGAGTGAGCGAGTGAGTGAGTGAGTGATTGAGCACGATCGATATGGCGCCTGGGTTTGGTCGTAGTGCTTTTTTATCGGGTTTCACTGCTACTAGATCCAAGTTGCAGAAGCCTGTTCTTGTGTGGCTTGCAAGGCATTGGCCACAAAGCAAGGATCCTAAGCAATTTTCTCGCGAACCTCTTCGACCTGTGCAAAGTCACCCTTCAAGCAGGCACTACACGAGTGTGTAGGCTGAACACATTAATCGAAATCCTTGCGCAGCAAATACCGGTGATTGCAACACTTTTTAGACCAAGTCTTGGGGTATGCCACATAAGCTCGACCTGTTCATCGTGCCCTGCACCTCAAGCCTTTACGACTTTGGACGCTCTGCACAAAGAAAACCCAGCCAACACCAGCAACCAGGCTTCAAGATCTGATAACATCACCGTAGCGATTCAGGCTAATTGCCTGTCGAAGTGGACTAGCAAAGTGTACATGCACATCATTTTCCTTGCTTTGCACACCGAGGTAAATTAAAGATGTGAGCGAATTCAGCTTATGTAGCTACGCATAAGACTACCAAGGACAAAAGGCAAGCGATGGTTTTAGAACCTGACACCTAGAGGGCGTTTGATGCTTATGCCATTCTCACTTCTGTGACGACCACCGACAACTATTAACGAAGCACACCCCTAAATAGCAAGTACTTATACTCATGTCTGTTTGGTTTATGAAAAAGCTGCCTGTACAGCATACTTGCGCGGCTTCAAACTATAATAACGGATTGCCCGGACCCCTTCAGCTGCACCTAGCTGCAATGCTTTTATTTCGGCATACACCGAAAGAGAAACACACTGCCATATGCGCGTTGTTGCAACCATTGTGCTTATACACACCCACATGTTTATAAACGAGGCCGGGTGCTCAGAAACCAACCGTCCAAAAGTGTATAGTATAGTTTCACTGACAAAAAACAAAACACACAGCAAATACCAGTGCTGCATGACTTTATCCAACCAGATCACCACCTCAACACTTTCCTTTCCTCCATTAAGAGAAAGTTCAGCGGGTCAGCAAGTTAGACTTGAGGGTTCGTGTCGGTGGCACAGGCGGCTGCGCGGGTGCCGCTGGGATGGTGGATGGTGCTTTTGTCGGTAGGTACTGTAGTTGTCTGCACAAGAACGCTGTTGTGGCGGCCGTGGTGGGGAAGGGTGGGTGAGGGGCGTGGGGAACGGAGCTATTGTTGGGTGTTGGCCAGCAGCCGCAAGACCTCTGGCGCTGCCCTCCCCCCTCTTTCCGCCCTCCTCTCTCACCCCTAAGCGAAGGGCGAGTTTACGAACAACCCCTGTATTTGGAAACAGACCCTGTGCTCATAAACACCTCAAGCAAAAAGCAAACAAGCGAACAAGCCAGCACCATGACAAGAATCCCTGACCAGGCGGCACAAACGTCAACAAATTCGATATTAATGTCATGAAACCCATCGCAAGACATGAGAAACTCAAAAAAACTCATGCAAACACGTATGTAATGATGTATGTATGTACGCATGCATGTATCTATTTATGGCTATATTACGTATGTAAATATAATCATATATATATATATATATATATATATATACGTACACATATATATATATATGTATATATATATATATATATATTTGTGTGTGTGTTTGTGTATGTATGCATGCATGCATGCACGCATGCATGTATGTATGCATGTATGTATATGTGTATGTATGTATGTATGTATGTATGTATGTATGTATGTATGTATGTATGTACATATGTACATATGTATGTATGTACATATGTACATATGTACATATGTACATATGTACATATGTATGTATGTATGTATGTATGTATGTATGTATGTATGTATGTATGTATGTACATATGTATGTACATAATGTATGTATGTATGTATGTATGTATGTATGTATGTATGTTTGCATGTATGTATGTATGTATGTATGTATGTATGTATGTATGTATGCTCGTTTGTTTGTGTGTATGCATGCATATGCATGTATGTATAAGCTGACATCTATATATATATATACACATATTATTATATGTATATATAAGATGTCCAAAACCTGTTCTTATTATCATGCCAGGCCGAGCAGCTGCTGGACTTGGAGCGTGTCGTGGGACCCATGTGCCTCGAAGCTGTTAGGTAGCCCTGGAGCTCCAGTTACCGAATTTGCAGGCTATAGCAGCAACACACCCACATGTGTGCGTTTATATATATATATATGTAGGAAGGACCTCCTTGTACTATTTGTCGTGACTGCTTTGCTCTCTCATTACAGCTTACTGAAGGCACTATACATTCGACACAGTTCATATCTTATAGTTTTTCACTGTATACAAAAATGCATAAACTTTATAAGCTTCGGTTATGAGTTTACAACGTTTATAAACAACTAGAGGGTTTTCGGTTGCTCGCCAGCGGAAGCCTTCAAAAGCTATAAACTGTATAAACCTTGTGAGATTATAAATTTTACAAAGTTTGTCAAGTTTATCAGTTGTATATCTTTGGTGTGCACGGACAAGTTTCCAACTTTATACATGTTTAGAAACGTCTAAAGGGCTTCGGTGGCTGGCCAGCCGAAACCTTCAACATGTTATAGACTTTATAAACTTTGTGAGTTTATGAAGTTAATAAAGTTTGTAACTTTTGGTGTGCGGGAAACGGTTATGAATTCTATAAGCTTTATAAACGTCCCAAGGGTCTTCGGTGGCTGACTGCCGTTAACCTTCAAAATGCTTTAAAACTTATAAGGGTGTAATGGGCTTCCGTGGCTGGCTAGTGGAAAGTTTCGAAAAGCTCTAAACTTTATCAAGCTTGAAAACATTTAGAAGATCGCGGAAGGGGGATGGCCCCTTGGGTTTCTTTTCTCCTGTGACTATGTTTTCCCTGGGAAGAGGAAGAGGACGAGAATGGTAATAATGGAGGAGAAGCGGAGGGAGACGCGTGAGGAGTGGGGCAGTGGAAATTGTTCTACCTATTTGTTCCTCCCTCGTCTCCCACTGCTTCTGTCTCTCTGGGCTTTTTACGTGGACAGTCATGGGCAGGAGAACACAACGAGAGTTACACATATCGAGCTGGAAAACCACAGGTTGGAGCGCCAGGCCCTGCTTGAGTGTTCACTCGTGGCTCGTTCACCTTGTGTTCTGCGCTTCGTCATCTTCCTGCTTTTCTTTCTCGGTCGCGTCCGCGTACTCTCTGAGTCTCTTGCTCTCATCCACTTTCATGCTTTCCCTCGCCTCGTTCCATGCCTTACCCTCCGCCCTTTCGCACCCTTCTCAAATGAATAAGGCAGGGAAGCCTAAGAGAGGAAGAGCGGAGATGGAGGACAAACCTTCTCATGTGGTTCTGCCGTACAGTTTTAAGTTGCCCCTTTCATCACTATGAATTGTCTGGTTCCTACCCTTTGCCCGAAAAGAATTCCAGGAAACGAGGGCAGAAGAGAGGTGAGAATGGAAGGACGCAAAAAGGAAAGAGGGGTTCTCCTCCTCCAAGTCCCGAGGCTTCGCATGCTCGGTGCGTGCTTTCTTACATATTCGCTTCTTGGTTTCTCATCACTACGACATGACAAAAGATGAGACTGATCTCAACAGACTCACAGACTCACAAGTGCCACCATCATTTTGGGGTCACTTTCCCCCTCTCTGCCTCTGGACTCGCTCGCTCTCCCTCCCTCTCTCTCTCTCTCTCTCGGCTACGTTTGCTTTACCGGCGTCTGTTTCTCACTCTTGTTCTCTTTCTCCCGGTCTTGGTTTTCACCAACCAGAAGGACAGGCGAGCCGGGACAGAGAGAGAGAGAGAGAGGCACGCAGAGCGCGGCAGACAGAGGGAGAGAGGGTTATATATATATATATAGAGAGATACACAAAGACCTGGGGAAAGAGACAGAGAGAGATACATCTCTTTATATACATACATATACAAGAGGGCGAGAAGGAAACAAATCGGGAGGAAAGGTCATCTTCTCCTTCGTGCAAAGAAGAGTGACAAAAAAAGGAGTATACCACAGATAGATAGGCAAATGATCCCAGATTTCTTTTCGTCCATCCTTATGTTTCCGGCGGCTTGGAACTGTCGGATGGAGCCAAGCTCACAACAAAGCAGCGCATCACATTCTACATAGAGGTCCATGCCACGCGTACGTACGTGTGTGCGTGTGTGTGTGTGTGTGTGCGCGCATATACATATATATATATATATACACTCATAAATCTCTCGTTACATATATGTATATATATATATATATATGCGTATGTCAATGTAAGCATGTACATGTGCATGCAAGAGGCTCCTGCTTGAAAAGGGGTGCTTGGCAAAACTAAAGTCACCACTGGTCGGCGTTCACACAGAGTTCGAAGCGGGTCCTAGGGTTTCCAAGTGTGGGGGGCCCTTTCTTCTGCCAGACGGTTGCCGGTGATTTTCCCGTTTAAAACGATGTCGTCTAGCGATGTCTAGCGTCCACACCGTTCAAGCACGTGGTTTTGAAAGGCATGCTGAGGCCGGTATAGACATTTTACGTGGTTTGGGGCCTGTGCCCATGGTTCCTCATGAGGTTTGTGCACCTGTGATTCTAGACCCCTATTCTGAATCATTCCCGAAACCTGGACCTGTAAGTAAGAAACCCCCTGTAGATTCTACATCCTGCTTGCAGCCCCTGTTGCTCAAAGCTCCCCACACTTGAAGAACCAAGCCCTAAACCCCTTAAGATCCAAGGTTTAGGTTTTCGGGCTACCCTAAACCCTTAACCCTAAACCCTAAACCCTAAACCCTAAACCCTAAACCCTAACCAG